ATGGTTATAGAAGTAGCACCGGTAATGGTAACGGTAATGGTTGAGTGTATTGGTAATTGTAAAATATTAGGTAATGATAATGGTAGTGGTAATGGTAATTATAATGGTAATGTTCATGGCAATCGTAATGGTAGTGGTAATGGTAATGGCAATGACAATGGTAACGTCAATAGTAATTGTAATAATAAAATTTAATTGTTATGATTATAATAATGGGAATAATAATTTCAATGGTAATAGTAATGGGAATGGGAATGTACTACCATGTACTGGACATTTTTTTGTCATTGTAAAACACAAAAAAAAGCATGCTTGTTTTAGATGTAGGGTTGGTTAGGTTATACTGGCTGACCATAAGAGGTCTTGTAAAGGCGAATATAAGGTCCATAGCGTTGCCAGATGCTTTTACGACCTATGAATTAATGCTTTCATGTAATGTTAAGAACACTGCGGTTTCTTTTCGCGAAATTTAATGGACAGTTTGGTATTTTATCGATTGTTGCTTGTAGGCTCTGCAGCTGTACCTTGCCGAGTAACTGGACCCTCGCAAATTATATGTTCTCAATTAAAGCTAATTTAAATTCAAGTGCTCCTGGGTTCCTTTCCAATGCCTGTCCGCTTGGATGTACATGAGCAGATCTTGTAAAATTTTAATTTCCCTAAGGTCGAGGTCACGCAATGAGCGGCGCCATACAAAAATGCCGCTCAGCCGCTCAGAAATGATGCTCAGTGCGTGGCCACTTCAATAGTATTTCATATGTTTTAATTTTAAGTCACTCAGCCGCTTTGCCGCTCATTGCGTGCCCTTGGCCTAAGAGGAAGTGGTGTATTCGTCATTTGCGAGGCATCTAAGAGGATGTCCTCCTTGGCTAGCTCGTCAGCTCTCTCATTACCTTTCACACACAGTTGTGTCCTGGTACCCAATAAAGGTGGATGTTTTTAGCAACAGTTAGCTTTCTTCTAGCCTCCCTACAGTCCACGACGGTGATCGAATTTGTTTCATATGAAAGTTGAGCTTTAATGGCCGCCTGACTACCTATGTAAATATCGGCTTGATAGATACTGCACTGATCTGGTAGGCCCACGGACCTATAAAATACTGGTTCTGTGAAATATACCGCAGCCCCTATTCCTTCGTGGGTTGGGTTGGGATCACGTAGTCTTTTCGTACGATTAAGGAGGACGCTATACTAGTGTGATCATACGTTCTGAATGTTTTAAATCTAAATAATTTAAGAATAAATAGAAGCATTTCTTGAATGCCAAGGAATCAGTGAGATTGTTGTGTTTTCTGATCACAGTCAACTATTTGTGTGAGTCAACAGTTGTACAAGTTACCTGCAGTCTCATCTGCCCGATGAAAGCAAATACCTAACAAAAATTTCTCTGGTAGAATGAGACGTTCAAACCTCCCAGTCCTTATTTAGCGAGGTCCTCCCGAGTGACCTGGTACCCAGGTAAAACAACTTGTTTAATTGATACTTGTATTGCCGAACTTGTCTGAAAGAAGTTAGAAAGCTGGCTCCACCAACATATAATATCTTCATACCTAACTTGTTTTCCACCACGTAATCAAAAGCCCTAGGTTTTGCAAATAACTGGGCTCAGAACATTGAGGTATATTCCTTAAGGGAAAACTAAGCTTATCCCGATTATATTCAATACAGACACCGGATACTGATCCAATTGTGGAGCCATCGGTAAAGATCTGAAATTTTTTTAGTCCGGGTTTGAGGTTTTTTAAACAAATTTCAAACTGTGTGGATTGAAGCTGTGCTATTTCATCTTCTTCTTACTTGGCAGTTGGTAACCGCCAAAGTGATTCTGGCTGAGTACAATAAAATAACACAGACGTTCATTTTCTGTGCCAAGTGACGCCAATCGGAAATGCCAAGCGAAGCCAAGTCTTCCCACATCTGGTCTTTCCATTACAGATGAGGCCTTCTTCTGTTAGGAGAATCGCGATCCGCGGTGAAGTCCTGCTATGGCATTTATTCATGTCTGATGATAATAGGCCTGATTATTAGATAGGAGGATCGTTTACAAGTCAGTTATTTCTCCAAAGTAAGGAAAATTTATGTACAGTTATTTTGGGCTCGCTTAAACTGGAAACGAGTTTACCGCTTCTTAAATTCTGTCTTATGCCGGAATAAGTATTTCTAAGTTTTGTATAATTTTTAGTTTTGAAGATACTTCTTGCCACCGTCCAAAATTTTGCTTAGTGGAATGATCTATAAAAGATATTTTAAATTTTAAAGTCTCAAAACAGCAAATTTGTCGCTTATAGTTACTCACCTACTTATTTATTGCTATGCAATCGCTCTGTTCATTTTTGCATAATTGCTGTCCATTTGTAGCCAACTGACAATATAGTTGATAAGTAAAAATGCGACACTTTTATAAAATTAGCGATTAGTCAGCACCACTTTGTGTGTGTTAGGTGAGTTAGATTTGCCAAAAATGTACCAACGTACATATATACTTTCAAATACTGGTTTATAATGCATCAGTATATAAATCTTTGGCAAGTATTAAATGTAGTTTGAAATCTGATAAGTTGTTGAAATGCATTTAATGACATTTTTAATGTTTCTGCAAGTTCCCAGACTAAACTTAACCTTTAAAGTTTTCAGGTAATTAAGAATTCAAAGCACAAACCCAATTGGCAACCAACAAAAATCAGTAGAAAGGTGCACAGTAGCTAAATGTGTTTTTTTTTTCGTTGGCATATATTTTTAAGGCAGTTGTTGACTTAATTAATTTTGATCGCGTGAATGATATGCGTAGGAGTGAAGGTTTAGTGCAAATGCCACGAAAAAGCACAATAATTGTCAGCAATTAGTTACTTGTTGACTCCTGCGCTAGCGGCTAGTAAAGTGTTTTGTTGGCAAATCAATGGGTGATCGGTTCGACATGGCGACTTATTACTGTCACTATAGTATTTTCTATGCTTTTTGCTATATTGTCTCCTTCCTTGTTACCGTATACATGTTATTCACACAGTCATGACACAATTCCTTCAATCATGCATCTAAAAATTTGTTGACTTTTGTTTCGTTTGACAAAATTTAAACGTTTTATTTGCATTGACATAAATAATTTTTTTAATATTTAATAATTGTAGGAATATCTTTGTCAGAATAGTAGGATATCTATATGTAAGTACACATACATAAAACCTACACTATTTTTTCTTAGTACATAAAAAATTTAATAGCCTCCACCTCCAGAATTTTGAATAAAATTGGATGTAGCTTCCAACGAATTCCCTTGGTGCATTCTTCTGTTGCCTATTTTGATAGAAAATCAGGCCTGCTGGAGTGCTTTACGGCTGCCCAATACAATCATTATGAAAACTGGAGATCTTCGGGATCATTTGGCGGTACCCAAGAAATTTCCGGGTGATCTTGCTGTCAAGCTCATAGACATTAATCAGCATAACAACAGAAATTATTCTTCCGAAAGCCATATAAGGTCAGAAATCCTGAAAGAGACTGTAATAAAGCGATAATATCTTTGATTGACGAAGGGTCCCAGGTAGGGTAAACCCACAAATCAAAGATGTATTAAGGGGGTATTGGGTCAGGAGTACGTGGGGTATGCGCCCTTGTTCCAAGGTGCCATGGACAGGAAGTCTCTGAAGAAAATGAAATGGCTGATTGTCTCGCAAATGGTAGACCACAAATGCACTTTCATGGTCCCGAACCTTTCTGCGGGATATGAAAGGGATACACTGCAGAGCAATTTAGGAGCTGGGAAGAATCACACACAATATACGAAATACTTAACACAACTGAAATTTAGTGCTTAACAACAACAAGATATGTATTTAATACTAACACCGAATCAAATGTCAATTACAAATATAAAAATAAAACTTAGGTGTTCGGGCGCACCCGGGGTGAAGTCAAACCAACAGGTTACGAACCCACTCGCATTACCGCCCGCGTTGCCGGGGGTAACTTCAGCCCACCGATGTGCTTGGGTTCAGGGTGCGGTATGCTAAAAACGATGGGGAAGGGGTACACAGTAAGAGGAAACCTATCTACAACAATAACGACTGAGCACAGACACTATAAAGTGATACCTATCCTCAGTCGGTGGACGTTCCGTCTGCAGGGGTGTTCCTTGGGAATATAGTTCTATAATCCGGTACCGACTTTACCACGCTTCGACTGCTAGTGCCTCGCCTGACACTACACCAAAACGATAATTAATAACTTGAAACTAGATTGCCAAGAATCAGCCTCGCTCGCAATCCGCCCGATAACTCTAGAAGCGAATTTGGCGCTTTTGCAGTCGCCACCATGGCGCACACAAAAAATACAAAAACCTGTTTCGCTCAAATTAAGCTCACGCTACTACTTTCGTATGTACATACATATGCACAATTGAGTATTGGAAGACTTCACTCCTATCGGTTGGAGTGAAAGGAAATAGGTAAAGACAACGAAGGAGAATTTTGTTGCGGCCAGTACGCGACACCAGATCTGGCCACAAATTGTCGCTACTTGTTACAAGTTGGAATAATATAAGATGCACATACGTATATATGTGTAACCATAATCTGAAGAGGTTAAAGAAATTTTTTATGCAAAAATTTTTTTCCACAGAGTGCAACGAAGTAAGCCACTTTTTAACATTAAGTCTGAGGAATTTTCAGCACGTGAAATTTTCGTACGAATTTAAATTTCGTTGACATCTTTAATCGTATTAAAATTATAAGCATGTAGAAAACACATTAAGTATATTTCATAATAGCCTTTCAAAAATTCAAGAGCAATATTATTAAAAGCACATTAACCCAATTCGGGGTGCGTCCAAAGGTTTTTTTCGTAGATTTTTGATATCATACGTGTAACAAAGGCACACCCACGACTCCATGAAGAAAAGTACATGAAAGAATAGTTGGGGGAAAAAATATCAGATAAAAATCCATGATGCAATAATGAAAGGTGTTATACGTTGGCAACTTCTCGCTCTAATCCGCCATCTTGAACTACCTTAGGAGAAACTGTGTTGTTTCTTTGCTAATTTCACTGAACATTTCCCAAAATATTAGAAAAAATTCTAAACAAGCTACATTGATTCAATTTTCGTTGTTCGTTTTGTTCTTATTCGCTGACATTTGTTTTCTAATTGCTTGAAATTTGGTAAGTATTGTAATAAAACCGAATTATTTTTACAAATTAATTATAATTTTGCATTTATTAGGTAACTAGCAATTACCCGGCGTGCTTCGCTGCGCCTTAAATGTATTTTTGTGTTGTAACTCTCCCCGTAAGCTCTTATGGCCTCATTCACAAAATATTTTTAAAGAACTTTATGAAGTTAGATTTAAAAAAATCGATCTATGCAGCATTGTTTATTTTTTTTTTTAGTTAATATATTTTCGAAGGTAATTAGAAAATATGTAAAGAACCGACTTTCTCTTGGAAATTTAATTTATAATCTTATAACTGGAGTCTACTATCGCACCCTTTCCTCAAACGTGTACTGATTCAATATTCAAATAACGTATATTTATATAATTTGAAAAAATCTCCCTACTATACAAATATGTACAGCAATATTAACTAATATTTTCAAATGTTGTGAGAGGGAGTAACAAAACAAAATTACTTTTAAGGCGCAGCGAAGCACGCCGGGTATTCGCTAGTTAGTTAATATTGCTGTACATATTTGTATAGTAGGGATATTTTTTCAAATTATATAAATATACGTTATTTGAATATTGAATTAATACACGTTTGAGGAAAGGGTGCGATAGTAGACTCCAGTTATAAGATTATAAATTAAATTGTTGTCAATGTTTTTTAATAATTGTAAACATTCGCCAGCTGTTTCTGTTTATTTATTAGTAAAAGGCAGGACTGCCAATCTTGCGGCAAAACAATAATAAAAATCCAAAAAAGCACGTAAAGCCAAACAGAATTAATTGGAAAACGTGCAATGATACACACATTAAATTTCTTATGTGCACCCTCCACACAGACCCCAATTACCCCTGAAAATTTCATTGAAATCGGGCAAGCCGTCTAGGTATGATAGAAATCTCTTATGTGCACCCTCCACACAGACCCCAATCACTTCTGAAAATTTCATTTTATGTGCACCCTCCACACAGACCCCAATCACCCCTGAACATTTCATTGAAATCGGGCAAGCCGTCTAGGAATGATAGAAATCTCTTATGTGCACCCTCCACACATACCCCAATCACTTCTGAAAATTTCATTTTATGTGCACCCTCCACACAGACCCCAATCACCCCTGAAAATTTCATTGAAATCGGGCAAGCCGTCTAGGAATGATAGAAATCCGAAAAAAACACGTAAAGCCAAACAGAATTAATTTTTTTTTTTGTGTTTGCAAAACGTGCAACGATACACACATGAAATTTCTTATGTGCACCCTCCACACAGACCCCAATCACCCCTGAAAATTTCATTGAAATCGGGCAAGTCGTCTAGGAATGATAGAAAACCGAAAAAAACACGTAAAGCCAAACAGAATTAATTTTTTTTTTGTTTTTGCAAAACGTGCAAAGGTACACACATGAAATTTCTTATGTGCACCCTCCACACAGACCCCAATCACCCCTGAAAATTTCTTTGATATCGGGCAAGCCGTCTAGGAGGAGTATGCGAACAGGAAGTTTTGCCACTTAATTTTATATATATATATGAAATATTTCATTCGTACGGGAGGTGCAACGCCCCCTTTTTCGTTATCCCCAGTTTTTTTGGAGGTGGTAGGGATCGATCTCATATAACCCCTCACCAAATTTCAGATGTCTAACCTAAATACTTCCAGAGATATGGACTGTGAAAAATT